ATCATCAAAGCTTTAAATCCCAAGAAATGGAAGAATTTATACGAAAAAATGGGATACAGCACATATTTACCCCTCCATATCATCCCTCTTCCAACGGACAAGTAGAGAGACAAGTGCAAACTATAAAGAAGAGAATCGAAAAATTACATCACAGCCAAGAAAAAAGTGAGGTGTTGCTCCCCAGACTTTTGTTTAGCTTACGCACAACACCTAGTAGCACTACAGGAAAAACGGCAGCAGAACTGTTGATGGGAAGAAGACTACGTACCATCTATGATCGATTAAATCCACACCTATATAAGGAGAGAAAAGAGGAAACAAGAATACGAGAATTCCAAATAGGAGACAACATCAATTACAGATGTTATAGAGACGCTAAGAAGTGGAAACCAGGTAAGGTGACAAAGAAGACCGGACCATATACATACATGATAGCCTCACCAGAAGGAACTATAGAAAGAAGACATATTGATCAACTGATAGCTCGAAGAGAACAACCACTCCAGAACAAGCAACATCCAGTTTGTCAAAACAACCAACATCCAGCTCCCCAGAATAATCAACATCAGGACAAAGCACCACCGGTTAGAAGGAGCTCTAGAACACGGACACTACCGGCACATCTCCGAGACTTCATTTTAGAGGAGGAAGATCTGTTGTAACGTTGTGACTTATCTGTAGTAACTTGATCTGGGTGTCGGGTCAGGGGTGAACATTCCCCACATACCTTTCGGGAGTCGGGGAGAGTTCTTGGGTAGTCGTCACCCCGGTCGGTTGTATCGAGAAGGAATAAAGTTAGTTGTTGATTAACTACGTGTTTTTTATGTGCAACAATGTCGAAAACAAAAGCGATATAAAATGGTGTATAATTTTTTTTAACTTCTGCCCTGTGGGCACTAGGAGGGCCTCTTATAGCGAGCCCATTATGGGTTCGCATAGGCCCACAATTGGGCGGCCGGGTGATGACAGACGGGGATGGACGGGCCAACCCCCGAAAATTTCCTGGGGATTTTTCGATTTGTTCGGATTCGATCTCGGGCCCCCAAAGCGGTAGACCGCCATTTTGGCCGCTCGGCCATTCGGCCCACGATGCAGAATGTCCATCGTGAAGAGATAAAAGACGATCTTTTTAAATCCTACGTCTCGAGACTCGATCACTTGGAAAATTGCACGAAATTCGTTTGAATAAGTCGATAAATATATTTTTTGTCCATCGAATGAAATAAATCGGAATCTTGAATTCGATTTATTTCGCCCAATATTATTTTGATTTTCGGAAAGATTCGTCGGTCGCCGTCGGGGTTGCACGTTTGGTCTACTTTTGCGACTTTCCAATTATTGATATTAATGTAATTAAACAAAAAAAATATTTAAAACTGAAAAAAACGAAAGAAATGGGTTAATTTTGAAGAAAAAGCTTCAAAGTTTAACTTCCTTTGTCTGGCCTTTCTGCGAAATTTGACACCGATGAGTCATTGTTTACACAGCTGGTGTCGGATTTCCCGGGACATTCTCATAGAAGTCTCGGGAGGCGAAAGGTTTAAAGTAGGGCGAATACTATCTGGCCATATATTTTTAAAAAATTAAAATTTTTATTGCCATTTCCGACCCCCCGACTTAATTAAACGTATATATAATAAAATATATTAATTTAAAAAATTAAGAACTATCGGAGGTCGTTTTTGACATCAGAAAGTAGCTTTAAGTCCTTAACAAATATACAATAAACGAAAAAAATTCAAAATTAAAAGAAATATATTAAAATACTAAGTACTTTGCTTTGCTTGTAACACAAACATTTTGGTGGGGGTCGATGTGAGGTTTCGAAAACGTGTTGGGGATCGACGATCAAAAAAGTTTGGCGACCCTTGATCTAGAGAAAGGAGTTAGATGAAATCCGAGACCAGATATGGAAACCTTAGGAACAGGAGGTCAAAATTAACTGTAACTTCCGATGCAAACCGGAAGTCGTTTTTTCAACTCAAACCCCCGAAAGCGGTTAATAGATGACTGGCACAACTCTATCGTTAAAGGAAAAGTATAATGTACAGGGACCAGCCGCTACTAATTTGAGGTGGCGAGCATATATTTTAGTTAAATGATTTTAAAATATAATTAAAAACTGCAACGGCCTTGTGACCGTGTCACAATAAATAATTGCTTGTAGTAAGTGCAAGTGTTTGTCGTTTATGGAGTTTTGCAAAATTATTTAACACAATATGTTAGCCCTTTTAAACTATGCTGTCAATATCGTCATATTTACCCTTCCTGTTTTCTAAGGGGCTATAGTTTTTTCTGTAACAATGACATATTTTCCACTCATTCCAGTAGAACTTCATTTAATATTGAAATTGGATAAGCTAATCTGTTTAATATTATTTCTTTTTCTATACTTCTTAAATCACATAATTAGATAAATTAAGGACTTAGCATACAAGAATATATTTTATCGAGATGGACGACTTAAGCTCTTTCAATAGTTCTTACGCAGAATCCATTTTGGGTGTTAGATCCTCTTCGGATGCGGACTATTTTGTTATGTAAACCTAGTTTTGATTAAACTCAAAAGGAGAATACAAATTTTTAAAAAATATTTGTATTTTCCTTTTGAATTAGTAGCCGAAGAGGGGTCTAAAACCCAAAATGCATTCTGTGTAGGAACTAAACAACTTTTGTCTCCCATCTCCATAAAATACAATTCTGTATGATAAGTCCTTAATTTATCAAATTATACAATCTAAGAAATAAATTAAAGGACAAGAAGCTTCAAGAAAATCTTTCCCTATTGTCAAATCAAATCAAAATTTAGTTATTCACAGATACAACCTTTTAATGAAGACAAAAGGTTCTCTCTTATTTACCAAATTTTGCTTGTTGTATTATGGGTAGGCACACTGAATATCTTGATACAAAATTTAAAATCTTTTTTTATAACATTCTATAATGAAGTGTAAACTATACTAAAGCAACGACCGCTGCGGTGTGACGTTGGGTTAAATATAGGCTATAATAATTATAAATTTGACCAAAGAGGAAGGCATTAGGCACCATCTAGTAATAAATTTAATAATTCTAATTTAAATCTTCTGAAACTATGTTGTCTTATTTCTTAGAAACACACTGTGTTAGTGAATCAATTTCAAAACTTGGAGCATAAATTGAAAGTGATATTAATTAGTGATGAAGAAGGACTTTGTGATAGGAATACTTATACAGTGATGCTTCAAAAGAAAAAGAATTACGTAGTTCTTTAAAATCTGATGTTCAAAATTGACTGAGGAGGGGCAGTGTCCGAAACGTGTTATTGTACTCGTAACTGTATCAACTGAATAAAGATGGAATATCGTCAAAAGTTGAAATAGAAACACTTTGTGTTATTTAATTAAATTAGAATTTTTTTGATTCACTAATTTTAGTTTAACTGGAAGAAAAGAATCGAAACCACAACTACCACTTGCCATGCAGATGCATTGCCGATAATGCTACCCGGACCTCTGGTCTGATCTCCTCTTCCCGTATGTTTTGCATTACAATATAACCGTCGTCGGTTTTTATGGTGCCGACTGGGTTGCATTCGGCAACTTTGTCCTGTAAAAACTCCTTTCAAGTTGGCACTCGGTTGGCCGTTGCATACTGGAAGAAGAGATTGAACTAGAGGTCTGGTTAGCGATATTGGTAACACATCTATATGGCAGGTGGCAGTTGCAGGTTCAACCACTCTGGGTCAATTCTTTTCTTCCAGTTTAAAATTTAATAAATTATTTAATCTAATTTAATTATAGTTATTATGAGATGGCACCTAACACCTCCCTCTTTGGTCAAATTTATCAGTAATTTATAATTATAATAACTGATGTCGTAGAGCAGTGGTGGTTAGTTTATTATGGTGTATCGGGTTTCGTGGTAATGTTTATATTTGTATGAATAAACTAACAATCAAACTTGAAATTTGAACCTTTTAATCTGAAATAGTTAAAAATTTGTACATAAATTTTATTGTCATCTGATACAAAATAAATATAAAAATGTCAGATTGCTGTTTCTTTTGGTATTAAAATTGAATAAGAGCAGAAAATTTTTTGTCATCGTAGTATGTTGTAAATGTAGGATATTAAAATAATAAAACTAACATACAAGAATACTATATAATTTTGTTCATGTAGAATTGTAAATTAAGGAGGAGAGTACTGATATGTTTTTTGTATGCATAAATTTGGAAGCACGATAAACTTCTATTCTGAATGACTTTTTAAAATAAGAAATTCTGTTCTTACAAATGGTAAAAACTATATTTTGTTTCTGCCAATTATTATTTACATTGTTATCACTTGCTATCTATTAAACAAATATACATTGAAACACTGTATTTCTAACAAAAATACAACAAATATAAATAGCAACTAAGACATTTTAACAATGTCGCTACGAAAATTTATATATTCACTGTATTTGCATAGATTTCCTGACAAATCTTGTTAATTCAGAGGTGGACGCCCTCCTCGGGCTGCTTCCTCCAGAGTTCTCAGTTTGATTTCCCGTTCCCGTTGTTGATGCTGACTACTGTCAATAAAAACTAAATCAATCTCTTTTTTAATGGTAAATGATAATGCTTAAAATTTTACTTTGCTTGCATTTACCGTAAAAATTCTTCGTGTTGTGGTAACAACTGGGGATGAAGCATCGGTGCTCCTATTTGAACGTATCGTTCTCTTTCCAGTAATAAATGGCGATGCAATTGTTCGTGATGAACAACCTGAAACATAACAATGATCAAGAGAATAACAATGGTTTTTAATTTCTCTATAATTTATTATTTAAAAATATACCTGATGGGCAAAAGCCTCTTCGTAATGAGGCCGAATCATTGCTGTAGCTGGATGTAACAATTCTGGACGAGGTACAAGTGTGGGCCTTGAAGAAGATGGATAACTACTGGAAGGAAGGAGATGATGTGGAACTGAAGAATTTGAATTTAAAGAAGGATCTACTTGAGAGTGAGAAGGCATACCCATAGCAGCAGCAGCTGCTGCTGCTGCTGCAGAAACAGGATCATGAGGATGTAGATGGAGGTGGGTATGAGCATGTGCGTGAGTATGAGCATGAGTGTGGGCAGCATGAACTTGCATTTCAGGTGGAAGACTGGCTATTTGCAATCTAAGTAGGGGATCATTAGATAGTGCCATTCGTTCTGCAGTCAGTCGATCCATTTCGGTTCCTGCCGACAAGCCTATCCTCTCTCTTTCTCCTGTCTGGTGATAAATTGCAAAAGGAGAAGATGGAATGATCACAGATGAACTGGCATTTGCCATAGATGGACCCATGCCATTTTGAGATGCAGTGTATCGTCTCTGTAGTTCTAACCAGTGTGGATCCATAGTGTTCACATGTGATGATCCAGACTGGAGACGTGATTTTAATTCCATCTCAACTTTCAATTTATCTTGGAAGTCCCGTTCCCTCTTTTCTCTTTCCATTTCTATTTCTAATCTAAGAAATTAAATTTGTCTATTACTTCTTTTGAATTATATAAATCAATAGAATATTTTACCTTTCTCTGGTTGATGGTCCACACAATCCTGATGTAAACTGATAATGCAACATAGGATCCATATTGTGAGTAGGCATTCCTAATGATAAATTATTGTTGGAAGAGACAGAAGGACGATGATAAGTAGGTGAAAAACCTCCATGTGGTCTAGCATATTCACTTAACTGTCTTAGAGCAGGTGTATCTGAATATACTCGTACTGAATGTCTTTCGTACGCATTAAGTGGTGAAATGTCAATCATGTGTTGATTTAATTTTCCATCTGAACAAAATGCTTTGCTAGAAGGAAATTTCTGTAAAAATTCAAATTTATGTTTTTTATCTTGAAATTTTCTTAATTTTGACAAAAATAAACAAACAAACCTTTTCTTCTTTTTCCCTTTCTGCAACTTTTCGGGCTTGTTCTTGCTTTCTAGCAAGTTTTGAGTCTGGTACTGGTTTGAACGTAAGATCAGTTCGAGCACATGAATTATAGCATCCACGATTCCAATGTCGAAGAAATCTTAAAATATAAATTTATATTAGATTACATTTGGTATATTTTGTAATAGATGTTTGTGTATACTGAAATAATTACTCACATAGCAGATTGACTGCGATGACATTCAACATTATCTAATTTTGGTTCTGGACTATGACTGACAATGGGATCATGATTGTCATCATCTGTTATTACAGTAGCAGAATCTTGAAGTGAGACAACTGATCTGTTTCTCTCACGAGATGGTTCCGTTGATGGAGGATACAAAGCAGTAGACACAGAACTGGAATTTTGACAAATCTGAGAATTCATCATGTGAATCTGTGAGAGATTAGTATTTCCCGATGAACAATTTTGAGGTGCAAATGAATTTGGATGAGGTTGATGGTTAGGAGAATTAACTGGTGATGACTTTCCAATGTTACTAGAAGGATGTACTGAATGTTGTGGAGAATATCCCATGTGTAATGGCAAAGTATTGTTTGGAAATAATTGTGAATGATAATATGATGAATAAGAAAATGTTGAGGTCTGAGAATTCATCCCAATAGTTGTAACTGGAGGTGACATTTTATGTTTTTCATGAATGATAGATGATTCTGAAGTTGGAGTGATAGATTGGTTTGATGGGTAAGTAGTTGCAGGAATTGGAGGTGGAGTAATATTTGTTGTTAATGAACTTGCTATATTGGGAAGTATTACTGCATTTTCATCTGTTTTTGTTGTAAATTGCTGTTCAGAAGATGATGTATCTATAAGATTACATACATCAAATGGCTCAACTTTAATATTTTGAGGTGATGGCCCTGGAAGCCCAAGATTTGATTCCACTATAGGAGAACGAGATGTATGTGAGAATGACATATCTGAACCAGTTTGATGATTACTTTGTTTGGTAGAATTAATATCAGATTCTGATTGCACATTCATTGGTAGATCTTGAGACAAATCTTCATTTGAATATGACATACTAGATGTGAATTCCTCTTTGACTTTGATTCTGGGAATACCAAATTTGTCTTCTATGAAATCACTGGTTGAAGACAGAGACTGTTGATCTGTATTTGAAATATCTTTTTCTAACTTAATTATGTTAGATAAATTACATATTTCTTTGGAAGGAACTGATGGTGTTACTTCATTTTCAATTATCATTGGTTGAGATGGCTGTAAATCTTCACTTTCATTTTGATTTGGATCTTCTGTTGATAATGGAACGGGAGGGGATACAGAAATGCTTGGAGATGATGACGAGCTTGGAACGTCTCCCCCTTCATTATCTCCTTCATTACCAATTTCTTCATGTGATCCTCTGCTACTTTCAGTAGTAACAGATTCTGAAGGGCTTGTGGATCTATCACCAATCTCTCTCTTCTTCTTGTTATTTTTTTCATCACTATTTTCTGGATGATATATGTATGCATTATTTACCTGTTTTTTAGTTTTTGTTGGACTATCTAATTTCTGAAAGAATGAAAAGATTATTAAGGTTTTATAGCTTTATCTGAACTTTCAAGTATTGAATAAATACCTTTTTCTCTTTGTCTTTATCCATGCTGCTTATATTATAATTATTCACCACATCAGGAGTCTTCCTTTCTATTTTCGAAACATGTGCTTCAACATTATCTGAATTCATATCATCCGAAGACAGATTATTCAATTTGTGGTTTTGGTTTTGCTTTAACAAAAAACAGAATTTATTGTAGTATAACATGGACAATGGATTAATGTTATTTAAATTCTCAAAGAGAAGAAAAATCCATATATGTATTTTTCGTATTACATTGCTGAAAAAAGCTATGTATTATGAAAGATTTGCAATTAAAAAGTTTTTTTTCTTATTTTATTCACTATATAACACTACATGCTAGCAGTAATGACCTCTTCAGGCTATTGTAAATGAGATAATGTATAAAATATAGCAATTTTGCTCTAAAAAACTACACAATAAGTAATTTTTTAAAATAATGTAGACATCACCAATTAAAATTTTGCAAACCAACATTATATTATAAAAATAATAAACTTACTTTTTGATTTATATTATATTACTTATATTTCTATATTACTTATGAATTAGTAATCACATAATGTGAATTCAATAAAATTCTCAAATTTTATCTGTTCAACTCAGCTCCCCCAAAATTAAATCTTTAAGTGTGCCAAACATATATACTGTTATATAGTGAATGAAACTTGCAATTAAAAAGGGGTTTGTTTGGCAATTTGAGTTATAAAATATAAAAAACACACAAGATTTTTTTCCTTCGAGAATTTAAACAAACAGAAATTAAATAAGTCTCATATATCTCTGAATATTTGAGATAATTATCAAACTGTAATTAAGAACAGACAACTAGTGTCACATGAGGAATTGACTGTTGAACTGTCTGTAGATTCATAATAGAAATTGTAACCAGATGATGTATGAAACAGTTGCAGTATAAAAATACCTGCAATATTTAACTTAATAGTTAAAGTATTTGTATTTATAGAATTGTGGCTGAGGAGGGTCTAGTGAAGACTGAAATGCATTCCACAATAAGTCTTATTTTCTTGATGTGATCTTGATTACTTGGCTTTATTATAGTTTGATAAGCTCCATTATCTCAAATAACCAATTGATAGAAAGATATTATTTAATTTAACTTATTAGAGGCAAGAAGCTTACAACTAAAAACAGAATTTAATTAAAAACTTGAACTTGTGATTTGAAAATGTATAGTTAAAGCTTCTTAATAGGCCACAGTGTCTATTCAAATGCATACAGGTATATTCAAATTAATGGGTTTATTTTTTTTCAAAATTAGTTTTTGTATGTGTTGGCGTGAGTGACCACAGGTTATTAAATGAAAACTAAAAAGACTATTCTAAAAAAGTAAACACAGAGGACAAATAATTTAATGTATTAATAAAATCAAAAACTAAAATTTTTGTCATATGGTAGAAAACAAAGTATGCAACAAAATTTATGACTAAACCATTACCAAAACATAATCGAGAATGGATTTTTCAAATGATTTAATTATAAAAAAAAACTTAAAAATTGATTTTTGTATTTGTTTACATTAAATTCAAATTATCTATAATCAAACCTGTATCAAATTAAACAAGAAAAAGTGATCTTTAACATCATAAAGATCATTAAATTTTAATCTATTCATTTTCAAATGCATGCAATTTTAAAAGTTCAGAAAAGGTTAATCCACAGATTCATAGTGCCTGAACATGTTAAGCTAGATTAACTTTGATTTGCACATTGGTTCAACATCAATAATATAATCATAAACAAAAAGGGAATGAAAGTCAAACTTTCATTTTAAGTTTGAAATTTTATATTTTCAAAACTATAACAAGATGGATTATTTGTATATATAGAATATAATACAGAATTAATTTATATATAAATTAATTCTAAATATAAAATATATGAAGGTAAAAACTAATTTTAAATTTAAATCTCTACATGTCTGTATGGAAAAATATTGTTCTGCTTTCAATTAAAATATCATACATAAGACTATAAACATGCCAATGAAGTAGTAATAAAGAATTGAAACAGCAGAAGAAATTTCAAATTTATAACTTACCTCTTTATTTCTTCTAGTTTGCATAGTGTGTTGATTAGTGACTGAATTACTCATCAATTCTTCTTCAACTGATTTAAACATAAAACTAGTTGAATCTTGCAATTCAACTGGAGGACATATATTTTCTAACTTCTTATGAAAAGAGTGGCATTCTGTGCAGAGAAGAGCATTTTCTTTTCCCATGTGATGCCATTCCTTAGAAGCTGAAAACAAAAATTTGTAAGAATTTGTAAGTAATAATTGGAAATGTTAAAATAAATTGTAAATTTTTTATTTACTAACCTGTTGTATAACAATAATGGCAGGAATATGTTGAAACATCCCTAGAGTCTGAGTCATCTGATTCTTCTTCTTCGCTACCAGAACTAACTTCAACTATATAAGTATTAAATTTGAAATTAATATAAAACTATTTTTAACAGCGAGATTCTACATTTGTAATTAGATTTATATTAGTTAAATCTAGAGTATAAATACATTTAGTATTTCACTATTACAAATACAAGCTGAAAGTTGTCCATTTTACCAATACAAAAAATCCATCAATGATAACAGAAGAAATAAAAATTGATTATTTTATTTAACTGCACTCAGTGCAATTAAAACTGCAACATTAAGAAGGTTAAATACAATTTCAGAACAAAAAAAATTATTTTTGTGAACAATGTTACAAATTTGCTCCTCTTTTAGAAATGCATTTCTCTTCCTGGGGCTGGAATTCACAAATGTCTCATAAGAAATGACATAGTATATCTCCAATATTATAGTTACCAGAAACTTGTGATATTTTGTGACATGTTCACAAAACATGTCATAGCATTTAAAACAAAACATAAGACATATTCTCATTACCAATTTCTTCTGACAGCTTCCATTTTAATAGAGCCAATCAGAAAGCATTGTTTAGTAATTATTTTTAGAATTTTCTCTTATGTTTGCAGTGTCTTAGGAAAGATAACCAAATTTCATTTCCTTAGGAAGAATACATAAGTAAACTATAATTGACCTAGGCTTGGAACAAAAACTGCCAAAAATTGATAATGATAGCTATATTGAAGAAATTTGAAGAAGTTGTCTTTTTGTAAACAAATTATAAATAATTAATCTTTTCATATGACATTCTATAATGTAATGTTAAACAATTTTAATTCCACTGTGAGAAATGCTATCAAATTTTTTGGTATTTGATGACATCTTATATATTTCCGATTGTCTCTTTTTGAAGTTTTGAATAATGATTTAATTACTGTTAGAGCCAAATACTCAACTGTCACTTTTCCCAGTAAACTGACTTATATGAGGGCTAATAGATAGTATTTGTGTGGTAAGTTATGATATTGTAAAAAGTCTCAAAGTGTTTGTGAATACATTAGTTACTGCAAAAACTGGATATACTACTATAAATAACTAAAACAGAAAACAACTTCAAAAATACAAATAATCAAACAATTCAAATGTTATTACATATTGTATGTGCAAGAATTGAATATACAAATTGTTTTTAAAGAAAATACATACAAAATTAAATACATAAAGTTAGATATTTTAATGTTAAATATTAACCACTCATTTACATTAAACATATAAAAGAAGCACTCCACACATGACAACACATTGGTGTCTCTACTGGTAATTGAAGTCCGTTTACTCAAAATTTATAAAGCAATTTGTATTTTCAGATATTTTAGATAAAGAGTCATCATGCCCATCAAAAAGACGTCAATGTCCTGGTCAGAGGTAAAGATTGATAAGATAGTTATAGTTAGGTATTTTCTGACTGAGTCTTGATGTTTTTTGATCCTGTATGTACAGTACAGATTACCAATATACTCAAAGGGATGATCAATCCTGATGTGATATAAAGGTATTGAGTAAACACCTGGAAGAGTTGTAAAGTACTATATTATTTTTCTGACTTTCCAACGATTATCGACACTACTGTGTGCCGGAAATAGCCGTTCCCTAACGGGTACTTTACGCGGATTCGCGTTAGTGTGCCAGGCCTGGACTTTAAGCGTGCACCGAATTAAATAATGACAAAGTTTGTCAATAACAAAATCAAATATTTAATTAAACTTCTAGTAATAAACTATATACAGTATTTAGTAAAAATCAAACAATAATTTATTCAATGAAATTCAACAAGAATCAATCCGACAAACTCAAATCAATCTATTTCTAACTTAATTCTATTCCCCTTTGGAATTCGACAAAATCAAAGAATTAACTTATAAACAATAATTCTTATAAATTAAAGATCCTAATCGTCACCTCAATATACTAGGAACCTATTTCCTCAAACTCTCAAGACTTTCTATAATCGTCGATCCACAAATCGAATAACTTCAAAATCCTATCGGACACCTCTCTCGTTCACTGCTACGAAGCTCACCAAAGCTCGTTGCTATCAGGAATTCACCTCGTTCGTTTTCACTTGAGTTAGAGGCTTTATAGTGTGAGGTGACGTCACAATTCTGAATGAGCTCACTCTCCTCATTTACATACTTATCTGTAACATTAAATTTTTCTTGTTTATCTGGCAGATTATTTTCCGACAATACTTCGCTAACCTTTTACATTATTCTTTTTAACAATTATCGGGATGCTTTATTCTTTTAAGGTTTAGCGATTCCTAACTGGGTTGTGGGGTTTCCCCCCCCTTTTTCTCGGTGCGGACTTACTTTTTTCCGCTTGGGAAGCGCAAGTGTGCGCGAGTTTTTCTACGGCGCTTTTCCTTCGTCGGTGAGTTGGTTATTCGTCTATTTTTAAGTTACTAAGGTGAATGGTGAGGAAACCTTCGTCTTAACTAAACATAAGCCCCAAACAAAATATAATGAAAGCAAAATAAAAAGTAAAATAAAAATAAAGCTCAGACTTGGTTCCTTACAGAGTAGTTTCATCTGCAGGATCTTTGTCATTTCTGAGCAAGGAGAATACATTTGGGTTCCTTTTATATGCAATTTGAAAATTGAAGCATTGAGCCCCCATAGATCCTGTTGAAGGTGACTGTTCTGGTTTAGTCTCCTTAGAGCTGGACCTTAAATGAAAATGATAGTGTATCAATGAGTAGATAAAGCTAGGCTGGTATTCTAACACGGTAGCAATATGGTATATGTGTTATTTCTTGCTGCCTAAGAGATGAACTGAAACAGTGGAAAAGTACTCTTTTTATAAGGGCCTTGAAAGGCCAATTTGTAAATTGGTCACATGATATCAGTGTAGTATAAAGTGTGATGCTTTACAATAAACATCATTGTTTATTGTTTGCCTTATTGGGAAAAAGAAGTTGAGTTATTTTTTCAGAAATAATTTAAAACAGAGCTGCTGTTGTTTGCACAGATAATGTCTGGGACACCATGAGAAATATTCTATTGGGGATAAATCTAAGAATCTGGTACATGTTAGTATCTCATAAACATTTCTGTGAGATGTTTACTATATGTGAATGGGCATTATCCACACTAGCTACGAAGGGAAGTGCTACAAGCTGATGTCAACATAGCAATAAACTGTTAAATTGTCTACAGTATTGGTTGGCCAAAAAGTTCATTTAGTTTTATTCATTTATTAAAAAATGTCTTATTTATACTTTTAAGTATAAATAAGACATTTTTCATTTTCACCAATAACTCTATTAAACAATGTATTCACCACTTTGTTCCTCTATCTTCTGCCATTTTTCAGGCAACTCCATCTTTCCAAAATTTATCTTTTTGAGCAATAAACTGTTCCAGGTGTTTTTTACAGTCTTCCATTAAAAGAAATTTTAAAATCTAAAGTTGCAATGTCTGATGAATATGGTGGATGAATCAGAACTTCCCAGCTAAGCTGAAACATGACTATCAGAACACAAGATCACAAGAAAAGTTGCATAATGTAATTCTGAGTGCTGCTTTCAGTTAGTTTAATTGGGAATAGTGCTTGTTAGAATTAATCATTTGGTTTTCTAGAAGGAGCTCATAATAGGATTTCTTTCTAACCCTACTATACAGGGTATATCAGAATGACGTTTTAAAAATTTGGGGGGTTGTAGAGGATGAAATTTTGAACGTTTTGATATAAGGAACCTATAGCCGGAAATTTGAACTAAAGTGTCTACAGTGGTAGGAAGTGCTTGACCGCCCTTCACTTCGGTAGCTACCCTTCCGTCCATTGATGTCATGTTATTGCTGCGGATGGAAGAATGTAAACACACAACTACAGTGGTCTAACTCAGCTTGTGTACAGGATGTTGTGTACTTAGTGCTTGTCGTCCTCAGGTCACCCCTTGCATCCACTGGCACTGTGCTGTAAACACACAGCTAGTCAACATGAGTCCCTTGTGTACGCAACACCTGTAGGAACAGTTTGTGAGCTTACAGAGCACATCTTTACAGCATTTAATACCATCAGAGGGGAACGTGGCATCTTACAGAGGGTCGGACAAAACATGGTTCGTCATTGCACATTATGTAACGAAGTTGGTGGTCGTCACATTGAACATTTACTCTAAAATAGTACAGCCACTGATTCGATGTACAGTTTGATTGTACTCTAATGTTTTGTCAATAAAACTTGTCATAAATACTGTAATTTGCTGTTTCATTCAGCATACCGACCACATAGAACGTGCAAAGTGCTGTAGAAACTTTATATCACATTTTTGGCTATGGGTTCCTTATATCAAAACGTTCAGAATTTCATCCTCTACAATCCCCCAAATTTTTAAAACGTCATTTTGATACACCCTGTATATGCATCATCGTCTTTGCATATAGACCAACCTTTGATATGGCTGGTGTGGTTCATTTTGTTTTCTACAATCTCTTCCATTCAATATTAATGTAAAATATCCATTTTTCATTACCTGTCAATATTCTGTTTTTAAAATAAATTGTTTCATTTTGTTTAGGTAGAGAATCACATGCAGAAATACAGTCAATAATGTTTATTTCACTTTGGTTATGTGAAACTCAAACATCAATCTGGTGCAAATGATTTTCAACACTTGATTTGGATATTTTAGTCATTTCCCATGTGGTATAACATTGATTGTTCTCAATGTCTTGATTTGATTGTGATCAACTTCAACTGGTCTACCTGTCAGTGAGAAATTTCCAGCATAAACTTCTTAAATCACTTTTGAAACATTTGGTCAATCACAGTACCTTATCCATACACTGCATAAATTTTTCTTCTTTCGTCTCCAATATTGACAAAATGTCAAAATTCATGAATTTTTGTATAAAGTTTGTATTGTGACAGCTGTGCATTTAAAAATCTAATATTATTGTTTAAAGAAATTAAAGACAATGAAATGCCTCTAGAGTCATCTTACAAAAAAAAACTAAAACTTTTTGGCCAATCCAATACATACCAGTCTGGATATATGTCATGTCATAGCAAGTCAATTCCCAAATTATTATGTCCTGTGTTTGTCAGTATTTCATTCAACATAGTAGCATTAATTATCCTGTTCACCACGTTGCTTTCTTATGTGTATGCAACAATAGATTTGTCACTAAAGATAAGATGCCATTCTGCATTCCACATTACCTAGGAAAAGGACTAATCCAAGCACTAGCAACAATGGATTGAGATCATAAAAAGCAGTACAATACTATGTGTATGCACTTACCCATTCAATGATTGTTCAATGGATGCAGGGTATACGGCATCCATTTGCCCAGCACTACACCCTCATGCAAAGGTGCTGGGCAGGAGTGCACAATGTCCAAATCAACAAATAACCTACTTCAAGTTACAGTAGAGCGTCGATTATCCAAATCAATGGGGACTGGGGTTGTTCGGAAGATCAATGTTTCGAATAACCGATTATGTACGAAAAAATATATTAATTTATCCCATCTTGATATTTTTCTCCGTTGCATGTCACTTTGCGTTGAATTTTTGTCGATGTTAAGTCTAACGAAGACTATTGTATCGTTAAAAATTATTTTTTTATTTTGTACAAACAAAATAAATATATTGAAAAGTATAAAAACAATAAAAAATTATACTTCAGAAGTTAATTTAGTATCAAAAACGTAAAATATTTGAGTAGCCCAAGACATAGCCAAAGATTACAGCGCTACAGCACTGGTGAAAATTTAAATTTATCGACTGGAATTCCTTCGGATAACCAACCTTTGGATAAACGACTCTCTACTGTACTTTATAGTAAAATAAATATTCAAAAACTTATTGTTATGAATTCATATATATGCAAATTAACCCATTTAAACTAATAATCTACAAGATAAACATAATTAAGTTAACAAATTATAAAAAATAAACTTTAGCTAAATTAATTAATTTGAAAACATATTTTTCAATAGTTCAAATATTTTAATTAAACTTTCACTAGACTTATTCTCAGTAATCAAACAATCTATCTAGTATTAAAGAATTGATTCTAGTATTAAAGAATCAATTCTTTAATACTTGAAAGTTTACTTCTTGATTTACATGAAATTAAATATACAATTAATACATTCATAATAATTAATTTTACTATAATTTATGGTTTAAATAATAAGTAAATAAAAACATACTTGGGGTTTTCAAAATACTTGTATAATCATTTGATGTTTGTCTATTTGAACGATTAGGTTGTCTGATTCTGCGTAAAGCATTTTGCCGTCGATGCCGTCGGTGTGGCCGAGAAGTTGCAGCAGCAGGAGTTTTTTTCCACAGGTAATAAAATTCAATCAAATCAGACTAAAATGAAAAATATTACCTAAGTTTATTTTATTCAATAATCTACATAAGTTATCTCACTAGTCATTTTCTTAGAATACTTGTAATTGGTATTCAGGTGTATAGTTTAAAATATTAGATTATAACAAATCTGCAAATTATGTTATCAAAATATTCTGATGATAATTTGAATTGTTAATAAAAATATTATTTAAAATATTCCTCCACAAATTTTGATAATGAATTTTAAAATCCTTCTAATGTGTTTTATAATTTAATAATCTGTGCATATCATAGAATTAACTAGATGAATTAATAAGCTTTAATCAATCAACATTAAAAATCATTAATAAAGTTTAAACAGCTGTGATAATGTTTAATTATCCAAGTAAAATTCCGAGATTGTAGATGATAATACTTATCATCAAGTGCAAATATTTTATTTGATTATGTTGCAAATCCAATTCCATAACAATAAAATAAGAGAAATTTATTATTATATCAATGTATTGATAAATGGATTGCATGCTATTGATACCAAGGTCATAATATAGAATGAAAAAAACTGTTTTATGTGATGTTTGTGTGAATATTTGTATTTAAAAATTTTCTGACTTAGTGACAAGTTTAGTATGGCTACACTATATTCTGCAATTGAGATACATAAAGACCTAATTTTTGTTATTTATAAAAATGATATTGTGCAAAATTATTTTGTTAAAGATGTATTGGCTCATACATTGTTTTCATTTTTTACAATTTGTTAAATAAAATTTTAACTAATATATTCTCCCCATTTCAGGAGTTCTAACTCTTAAAGGAATTAATAGATAGATTGATTCATCAATTACAGGCTTATAAGGAACTAATTATCAATACACTATCCATTCTTCACAGATAAGAGGCTCTTGGGTGTTTTCTGAGTATTTACTAAATTTTTGGTGTATATATTTCATACATTGTGAGTTTTTGGAATGGCTATGTCTATGACATATGTGAAGTTGTATTATCAGTGGATGTAATGTCTAATTGCTGTGTAGATTGTTTTTTCTGTGATTATGGCTCGATAGAAAACACACACAAAATATCTTGCTGATTCCTAAATGCAGTCTGTCATTAATACAACATTTATATCAAGAAAATTCAAACTGTTATGAAAAAATTATGTTGTCTTTAAAAATATTTGTCACATTGATTGCAATATATTGTGTCATAATCTGAACAAGACTGCATGGATCAAAAAGAAAAGCTTGTAGAACTGGTTCACTCAGTAGCTCTGATATGAGCAAAACACTGATTTTAGGAATGTATGCAATTACCTTCTGAGTTAAAAATGACATAATTTTGTCTTATAGGCTACCATTTGGACAATGTTTACTTTAGGAATTTAGCATCTATGGTATGTACAGTACTTATAGTCAGGGTTGGGAAATTTATGTTTTTTTTTTTTTTAGAAACCTTTGTTTTTTTGTTTTAAAACAGTTTTATATTACATTATAAAATAATGTTTTAAATTAAAAAAAAATTGTTATATTACATAAATTTAGTAAATAAACTTTTTCTGACTTGTGAGCTAAACATGAGTGTGGGAATGGGAAATTTTTGTCACTCATGGGCCATGAAAGCATGTGACATGCACTTTTATCACTAAGAGATTTCCTGACAGCACATTCCAGTTAATACTGCTAGCAATATAGCTAATGTATTGTAATATTACTTGGATGGAAAAAGGCATTATTATTAACGTTGTTACTTGTTAAGTAAAAATGAGTGTAGGAAGAAGACTTGATAATATCTGGAACCGGTACAAACTAATTCCTGGAAATCCAGGAAAACTGGCATGCAGGTGCAATTCAAAATATGTAGGAAAGAAATGGTTGGATTAGTTGCTAGTATGAAAAAACATATTGAAGATAACCACCTACAAGATGATATACAGGAATTGCAACAGCTGAGTGAGTATTTTGAACCATTATAAGTTTTAAAATTTTCTATAGCTTACTATAAAGTTTTACCTGGGTCATAACTCAATTTGTTATCTGTATAGATATTCTTTAGTTCTTCCCTCGAGTTATCTCCATAGCGTTACGGAAAAAACGGTACTTTTCCAAAAATGTATGGGCTAATACGTATACATTCCTATCTATGAAAATTTTATTAATTACTTTTGTGGTGAGAGTTTTTTTTATAACATTTTATTAGTTAGCATATTAACTGCCTTGTTGTTATTTTACAAGAGTTTTTTAAATCAAAGTAATTAAATCATTCTAAACTTTTACCATTCTTACCATGTAAATGTCCCAGGACATTTACATGGTAAGAAAGCAGTCACCAGCTGTTCTCAATGTCAACTGGTTTGTAAACAATATAGACTGCATGTGTAAATTTTCACTCCTGTCAAATGAAAGAATAACAATCTCTGCAGCTATATTTATCAAATACAGCAAAAGCATTTTTTAGTTATTTTAAATTTTTCATATAGTTTTTCACATCTAATGATGATATTACTTTTATAGTGTTCAAAATGACTTGCAACAACTTGGGATCACTGGAGTCACGCAAGCAGCCAAAGACAGATTTGATATGGCTATCACAGACTATCACCTTTTAGCAAATCTTCTGGACCCAAGATACCAGGGTGCAAAGCTCACAGACAGTATGAAAGATGCTGCACTAACTCTGTGCCACGCTTACTACTCAGATGCTATGCCTTCAGTTTTAAAATACATGGCAAAAACTAGCCCATTTCTGCAACACATGTTTGCAGAGTCTGTGTTAATATCACTACTCTTATATGGTGGCAGTCACTATGTGACAGAATTGATGAACCTGTTTTAAAATTAGTTACACAGCTGCACACAGAAATAGTTTCTTCAGCAGGAATTGTGAGAATTTTCTCTACCTATGAACTTGTTCATTCAAAACTTAGAAATCGACTTGGACAGGAAAAGGCAGCAAAGCTTGTTAAAGTTTTCAAGCACCTAAATAAACACTATCGAGCATTGTATATTTCTGAAAATAAGAAATTCTTCAAGCTGCAGAAACCACTGCTGTCAATCCTGTTTTGGTGTTTGTACATGCAAATCTTAAAAATGCCATTGCATAAAGAAACATTTAAAAATGCTGTATTTTATATTAAATAAAACATTCTGTACATTCTTGAGCCTTACATTGAAGTTTTTCTGTTTTATTTTTCTATTTTACTAGATCAAGTGTTTTATTTCCAAAAAAAAAACATGTTTTAAATCCAATGCCTATGTTTTAATAAATGTTTCAAAACATTTTTTTTAAATCATGCCAACCCTGCTTATAGTATATGGTAGCTGGTTGTGACTAATAATTTATGGTTGTTTGCACAAAATCTTTTAATGTATAATAATCTGTATGTGCTAAAAGTTTGCATACTGAGGTAGAAAATGCCAAGTCATGCTTGAAACTATATAATATATCACAAGTGTCATTTGTAAATATTGTCTTTTAAGATGTGCTTCATAGTTTTTTGTATTCATTACCTGATTTTATATGATAATCACAAACCCTGAAGTGAAGAAAATGAACCAGAGAACACAGATGTAACTTATGTTTGTCTTTGGTAGTTTTGGAAAAAACCTGATGGCAACATGTGTCTCTGACACACAAAAGATTTGTCACATTTTATAAAAATACTCTTCATGACTCTAGATAAGAATAAGGGGAAAAAAGCTTCTTGAAAAGTTTGTAATTGGAATAAAATTGGCAGATAACTGATGGAATTTCCACACAAAATGTTATAATTGGAAAAAAATCATCTATAATTTCATTATTTTATTTTAATATAAAATTAGTATAAATAAATTTCACAAAGTATTTCAAAAATTATAATACATACTGTTTCCTTATGTGGTAGCAATTCTTTGCGAATTCTGAAAAAATTTTTTCCAAATTGTCGAAGTCCTTTTACAAATCGTTTCTGAATTACATAAACATTAATTTATTTGCATGTTATTTATTAAAAATTTATATAAACACCATTACTTTAAATTTAATTATTTGTTTTATTATAATGATTTATAAAAAAAACTAACTTGTTCTTCTTCTGTCCACTTTTTGTCTATTCCGGGGGGAATTGGATTCTTCACAAGAGCTTGAAGAGCTTGGCCAGTATCGTAGCTGCTTGTATGTAGCTAAGTGTATAACATACCAATATAGTGTAGCTGTTTATAGATAATTTTTAAAGTTAGATTATAGTAGTTACAAAATATTTCATTATTGTAAAACACTTTTCAGAGGAAATTTGATTTACAGCAATGAAAAAAGTTTTTCAATTGAATAAAGTAATAGAAATGATAATATTACAGTGAATCATTGTGCTATATATATATGTTTAAAATATTTGTGCAGCTATATAAAGATTTATAAAGTGGATAAATATTTTTTTAATTAATGAATACAATTTTTAGAAAATTTTATTTAATCAAAAACTACAACTATTATATTTCTTAAATCATCTTTTAAAGCAATAACTAATCTAATTTAAATAAACTACTAAGCTATTTATGAATGAAGTATATATTAATCTGAAATAATGGTAAAATTTTATTCTACAAAATGGATTTGACAAACTATATTACCAATTTTCATATTTTTAAGTTATCATTATCTAAATTACAGGTCTCCCACTCCATGTGAGGGTTAAAAAAAAAGTAAAATAGAGACTTCTTTACTCAAACATGTTTTCATAATCTTTATTTGCCAACTACATTCATCCACTTTATGACAACAGCTAGCATTTGTATTGCATTCTGTTCATGAAGTAAATCTGACTAAACAGAGGCTAAATATATTCAATAACAAATGTAATAATAAGAAGTATTCAATAATTACTTTTTGAATCTTTTGTTAAGAAATAATGTCTATTCAATAGTCTTTTGCAGTAACTCTAGTCCTTTTCCAATCCAGTAATTGTTGCCTTTTATAATATTGCTTGTGCAACTTTTACATATTTACACTATTATTTAACTGCAGTTTAAGAAGAATCAAACATTAACAAAAAAAAAAAAAAACTCCTTTAAAATGCAGCTTTTTATTAATTAATCCAGTGGTTTCCAAAGTGTGTGCTGCGGCTTCCTCACAGGGGCGCCACAAAATGTTATAAAATTTTTATAATGTTACAATTTAATGTACTTGTTAGAATTTGACATAGAACGCCTTGTGAAAATCTGCATTTAGCAAGGACACTGAGAATCAAAGTTTGGAAACCATTGAACTAATCAAATGTTTTCAACACTTGAATGATCTTCCTCAGGAATAAAAATTGAAATCATCTGACTTTTATTCCTGAGAAAGGTCATTCAAATGACTGAAAATGTTTGATTAGTTAATAAAAAGCTGCATTTTAAGGTTTTTTGCAACTTTTACATACTCAAAATTCTTTGATTTCACAGCTTTCTTTAATTTTTTCTTGGACTGAGTAACCAATGCATTTGCTAACTTCTGCTTTCTCTTATCCTCTATTCTATTCTCTTTTAATGTTTGTTCCTGCTTTATATGTTTTCCTTTATTTTGTAATCTTTTTCCATTTTTTTCCTCCTCCTCTTGTTTATTTCATATGTCCCTTTTCCTTTTATCTTCTAGAAATCCATGTATGACTTCCTGACTGTCTTTACTAGACTGAACAGTTTTTCTGTGTCTTGTATGAGAATAGAATAGTCTTGTTGTTACATAACCATTATGATCAAAAAAGTGCCCAAGACTATTTGTTTGCCAACTCCATCCTTTTCCCTTTTTTAAAATGTCACACTATGTTTCTTTTTATAAGAAAAATACTACTGAGTATCTGAACTTTTTATAGAGAAATTTTAGATAAAAATATTATCTATTTTTTGATTCTCATCATAAATTTTAGCATAACGAATTTACTTTGGAAAAACTTTCAAGCAGTGTACATAAAAAAACATACTACATCTTAATCAACCAAAAGAATTCCACTTTTATTTGTTTATCAAAAATTGATTTAAATTTAATTATCATTTTAAAGAAAAAACTAAATACAATAAAATGCAAAAAACAACAATTTGATAAATGACATAATAAATTGGCTTGTAAAATAGCTTCTCCTGTTCTGACTACTATGGGTATATTTAATTTCCTACTAACAATTGACTAAACTCAAGCATATAGTAGAATTTTCAAATAAGAATTTTGGAAAAAATATGTTTTTGATATCTAAATGTGAGAGCAAAACTTGACAAAAAATTTTTATTCAAGAAATTTTTTGAGAGAAAAATCATCGAAGATATGATTAAAACTTTTCCCATAGTGACACATCAAATGTGTCATCCAGAACCGATTGAAATTTAACCATTGGCTCTGATGTATAATAATTCCTAACGAGGTCATGGGAAAAACCCACAAAGGACCCCCTAATAAAAAGAAGCCATTTGATATCATAGTTAGTTCGCTTTAAACCAGTGTTCGTGCCCGATCCTGTTTCGGATACTGCTCAAGCCATTGCCGATCCTCTGCCCTCTCAAGACAAAAAAAGACATTCACCCCTTTCATTCATTGAAGTTTCTTCCAAACCACCTGGCGGACCAGCAATTCAACAATCTGCCAATTCTGAGATTCTGAAAAGGGACCAACTTCTACTAACCCAGGTATTTACCAAAGTGCAAACGATTGTGAACTCTCTCTCTCGTGGGCAGGGACCCGCAATATTAATGATAAGGGTTAGTTTTTTCTATAATTGTTATACAAAATTAGTGCCAGCTATGCATCTTAACCAACTTCTGTATATTATTGCTATGCAAATAAATGGGTATTACAAATTGTTACATTTGTAGAAGCGAACATTTCTTCCAGTTGTCTCTCAGGCCATCTCCATCCCGAATCCAAGAGCCTACAAATGCAACCACTTGCACAAAAATTAGCGGCCATCAAAGTTCTGTATCTGTCCTTAAAGACACAATGATGTCAGTCCTGACGAACTAGTCATCACAAATGCAATGTCGACCTTTCAGTCTCGTGGTGCTGAAGCATAAGGGGCACTTTGGCATTGTCACATAAATTTATTAGAGTCCATTTTCTAAGAAATTTCTGTAGATACTAATTAAAAAGTATTTTTCCTACTTTACACTTTACCAATAGTAAAATTCAAGGTCAGTCACAAGCCTGATGAATTTTACTGACTAACTCCCTAAAACATCTGATTCCACAACACTGATATGGCATTTCATAACTTCTCAGAAATGGATGCATGTTCCTCTTAAAGCACTTCCTTTGAACTAGGAAACCTTCTTTCAACATTAGCATTGCCATAAGTGACAGAGATGCCTTCTCAATTTTTGTAGTGTTACAACTTCACAATTTCATGTTGAAAAACTGTTTCCATTACTCATCAGTTTTAGTCTCTCTGCTTCTCTTGGTCACTTTTTCAAGCTGCAACAGCTCCCACTCATCTGTGAGTTCACCTTGTCTGATTGTCAGTGGAAACACTTTCAAGACATCACCACAGCTATGGCTTCTTGTATATGCTTTTGGCTGAAAAAAATTCAAGTGAGAGTCCACTTTTTCAACTACTCCCTGCAATTTGTGATATATTACTTCTGCTGTGGCTCTTCCCATAAAAAAATATGCATTGTGAAGTAACATTGTTGTTTTTCAAAACCAATATTTGATTGTGATCTGAAACTGCTTCTTACTAGAACTGTTTGTTGTCTCATTATAATTTAGTGTGTAGAAAGAATTTTGCATCTCATTCATGACTAATTTTTAAAATATGGACCATGGACATAGGTTAGAGATAAAATGACATTGGTTTAGGTAACAAAAAAATTAATTTTGTAAAATTATTACTAAAATGTAAAATAATTTAATCAAAAATAAATTAAGGAACAATTTAATAAACTTAGTGTAATCTATTACAAAAATATATTATCAATTGTCAATAAAGAGGCAAGTGCAAATGTTTTATTTTCTTTGTTTAACAAACTTTCTTCAAGCTTTGCCTCTAAATGAGCTGCTAGCACCACCAAATAAGTAAACTTTTTTTTATTGAAAATAGACTAATATTGGTAATGGAAGAGAACGACATTTTTAAGCTCCCCTCCAAAATTCATTGTCTCATCCTAGGAAAGGGAAGAGGGAGTCTTCCTCTCATTTGGAAATATTCAGCATTGTTGGGAACTAAAAGTCATGTTAAACTAACAAGGCAACAAACATCTATAGGTCAATATAGCTTTTGCAATTATTTTAAGAGCACTGAAGGTAATAAATTATTTACAAGTAAGTTAGATGCTGGTTTTATTAATTAACAGTAACTGAAAAACAGCTCCGCATGGCCATGCATACAAGGAAAGTCAGGCTATAATATTTAAATCAGTGTAGATTTTATACCAAGAATTAATTTATCTTTTTTTCATATGCTAGAACTTGCAAATGATAAAGAGCTTAATGTAAAATCCAGATCATATCATGACCAATACAAGCCACAGGTGAAGGAAAATTGTCAGATAGACAAAACCTATTTTCCACCATGTTGACTTCAAAATTTCCATTATAATGAAAACAATTTTATTAATCTCACTGTTTATAAATTAATGTTTCAAAAAGGACTTTCTATTATTAAGTACTTAAGTTTCTAATACTTTTTATACTGAATAATATAAAAAAAAAATTTTGTTAAAGATATGTCTCATAATTGAAAGAATAACAAAACAACAATGTAAACTGATTATAATTCACTTTATTCTATTATTGTCAACTGGGACTTATCATATTATTAAGACAATTACACTGGTGTACCGGTTATTTGCAAAAGGAGGAGTTCTTAATCAGAAAAATAAAAAATCTTTATTTTTTACCTGTTGTTTTCCCTGTAAAAAATAAAGATTTTTTGTTTTTCTGATTAAGAACTCCTCCTTTTGCAAATAACCGGTACACCAGTGTAATTGTCTTAATAATATGATTATTCTATTATTGTCAACTGGGACTTAAGTAAGATATAAGGATATAAAGGCAATTAAATTAATTGATTATAATTCATCTTGAAATGCTGATGAAATCATTGTCATAATTAGACAGTTGAAATGGGTGCATGGGCCAGAATGAAGGAGACCATGAAGTGCACTACAAAAAATTATCAGTGTTATATTTTCATTTTCAAATTTTGTCTGCATGGGGCTGA